TTAGATGGTGCTCAGTAACAGTTAAATATTGAATAGTACAAACCAAAAAAATAACAAATAAATAATTCCACCCAAACCTCGCTATGGCGATGGTGTTGTGCTTAAAGAAAGTATCCCAACGTATGCGTGATCTGTTCGATTGCTGATGAAATTTATTACTTATAAGGCCTTAGTGGTTCATTTTGGATACAAGCTAAAACCAGTCGTGTACAGATCCTACTCTTTCCATCACGGGGATCGTGTGGCATATGCTCCTTCTATTGTTGCCGTGCAATTTGTAACTTTGCCTAAAACCTTACTGTACCAGACCTCATGTTTGAACTCAGTGTACAAAAACCCCATTGGACTAGTTTTTTTTACAATAGAACTAACTTGACCGTTTTTGATAGTTCTTAATGGTCAAGATAAAACTTTATATCATAGCTTTTTTTTAAAAAGAGATTCAGTGATGAGTCAAAAGCGTGTGCTTCTTTGCGACATCTCCTATTATAGTATCCTCAGCCGAAATCATCAGTACTAAGTTTTCCGAGATAAGTGACTAGTTGAAATTTGCAGGTTGATTTTGCGCAGCCCTTCTAAATTTTGCAACAGGTGGGAAAGAACTTGCTCAATGAAAGAACGGCAACTTGGAAAATTAGAAAAGCTGCGGTTGAGTTTGCATAAAGACCCTATAATCTATATATAATCGGGCGTAATCTTTTGTGAGTGTGAATAACTCGCGCCTAGTTCAAGACACCCTTAGGACAAATCATCATTTGCTTTTATTAAAGGTGGTCAATTCACTAATTAATATCGAAAGAAGATCTGCAATGTTTGGCCGAAACTCAAGGTATTTTTGTACACAATCTACTCATCTCAGGTTCGTCTAAGCACTAGAGATTGATGCTAATGTGACAATCAAACAACGGGAACTGTAATAATGATTACATCATAGAAGCAACAGTTGTGAAACACATTTAATAAATAGCGAAAATTAAGTACCGACCCAAACTTGGTCCGTGAGGGGACTGCCATTACAATAGACATTATTAGAGAAAAGTCAGTCAGTTCAATTACCTAGATATGAACACAGGGTTCTTGACAATGTTCAAACCTTTTTAAATTCCTCTGATCTCTTCAAATTATTTGTTACAATATATTATCTGCAGGACAACTGCCTCTCACCTTCTAGATAGAAAAATTCTGAAATTTAAAAGACCTCATTATTGATGATATCACTCGCAAACTCAGCAATCGGCCCACTGAAGTTGCCCCATCGGCTTTTCGGCATCAACATCGTCAAGTGGTCGTTCAGGTAACAGGCCCAGTCGAAAGACATACACAAGTCGGTATAAGCCACCTTTGAATATCGTGTGATTTTGGAAGGTAATTAGGTAGTTCTCACTTACCTCATAGTGCTTCCCATCAATGTCCACTGGTACAGTGATGTTGTGAATGATGAACTGATTTATGCGAGCAACCTCATCGAGATACTTCAAATTCAAAATATTCGGCCTCCCATACTTAGGATGCTCTTTCCCGGCGACTAGAAACGGAA